GGAGCGCTCAACAACGCCGTTAGATCAGTGGGCTCTGTCAGTGCTTTGGCCAGGTAACACTTTTTTTTGCCATGCAATAAAGCTAAGTTCAAAGGCCAATTTAAAATATTGGTACAGTAAATAAAGTGCATAAAATCAGTATTTTGTTTAGGCAGTATTTGTGGCACTTTTGTGGCAGATTTGTCCAAAAGATGTGTGTTTTTTGCGCCAATGCATTGTTAAATGATCAGCGTGTCGTGTAATATTCCCATATAAACTTTAACATCCAATTAAAAAATATTTGTATAGTAAAATTCGCTAATTCACGAGATCAATACATCCTTTATTAGACCGCTTTGTCGAGTTAAATGCATCCTTACGGAGGTGTCGAAATGCTGAATCAATTCATTCACTTCCAACAGCGCTTAATGGGAGCAGCGTCATAGAGGGCAGAGCGTCACGTTATTTAAAGGGGACGTTAACGCGTTAACGAGTAGCAAATGATTAAGTAGCTGCATTGGTTACTTTTATGCCACTGATAAAGCTTTTATATGTAGTTTGGGGTAACAAAGGGGTTTTAAAGGTTTGATTGAAATAATAATGCCATAACTGACACTTTAAATCAATGTTTCAAGCAACAACAACAAAACAATTGAACAGAAAAACAGATAAAGACAAAAAGTAGCCACTGATAATATCTAAACATGTATCCAAGTCCAAATGTAATAAAATTAATTTATGTATGATTTATGTGTAAATTATGTGCAATGTCTTAGCTACTAGGGATTGTTACATAGGGCTAATCAGGCATCTAGTGGCTACACAACGATATTACAGATAATAAAGTGTGCAAAATGTATATCTTAACAGTCAATTTACAAATAATGCGTTCAGATTTGTGAAACTCAATGCGCTGAATCTCCACAAATTAGTGTCGTTACTATGACAACCAATTTGAATGTGACAAGAAACTGGTGTCTGAAAAGAATATATATGTATATATAAACATGTGTATATATATATGGCTAGAAACGGCCCTGGGAACACAAAACAGAAATCAGCCACAGCTTCTCTTAGCAGTTATTTAATACTTTTTGAAAAACATCGCAGTACCACATCAGGGCTAAAATGACCCTTATTTCAAATACAAAAGTAACAGCAAAAAAACTATTTTTTTCTACAAAAGATACAAAGATTTTGTGGAAAATGTCAAATAAAACATTTGTTTCTTATCAAATATCATTACACATACAATAGAGAGCTAATAAAGACAACTGTGCTGCAGAAGCAAGGAGTTTAAAACGTTCGCATTAGATTTATCGTCTTACAAAATCACATTGTTCTCAAAATGGGAACACTGAAGCCCAAAGTATGCTTTAGTTTTGATGAGAAAGAAAATGTGTGCGAGCACAGGCAGCCGACGCATGCGTCATCTTTGTGCCATCAAAGCTATTTTTCCCCAGATGACCAAAAAAGTTCTCTGTACTCTTTAAAACTAGAGGTTAATCATCTTTAATTGGCCTGTTTAGCTAAGCTATCGTTAGAACAAACCAAACAAGCCCTGAAAGTTGATAAAAGAACACATAGCATAGCAACACGCAATATTAAATTGTATTAGATGATTGCATTTGACAGATTATACATGTGTATATATAGCTTTGTTTCTCCCATCAGTAAAAACCCAAGTATACTTAAGGCTTTAGGAAGCTGAATTTAAAGGTTCACTTTATTGTGTTTTTATTGTGCATCCATCTGAGAAAACTCCTTGGACACATCATAAGAATCTCGATGTGTTTATCTCTCCACAATATTATAGTATCAGGAACAGTATCACTTTAATTCGAAGGAGGACAGGAGTTAACACAAGCCGTCTTTGTCACCTGCTCTGTGCAATGCAGCTCCGGCTCTGTTTAACTAGCTTTATGAAGCTAAAGTACCTCTCATCTGTTTCTCACATAAATAGAGGTTTCCCAACAGCTTAAAGACGTAAAGTGGCATGTAAGTGCAGATCATATAAACGCGGTGGTTTGTGATTGATAATCGATTAAAGCTTCAGAGAACACAGGAGACGAGTTCTTCAAATATCATCTTCACAACATTTTCATAAATGTGACCCTGCAGCACAAAACCAGTGTTAAGTCGCTGGGGTATATTTGTAGGAATAGCCAACAATACATTGTATGGGTCAAAATTATTGATTTTTCTTTTATGCCAAAAATCATTAGGATATTAAGTAAAGATCATGTTCCATGAAGATATTTTGTAAATTTCCTACCGTAAATAAATTTCAGTAAGTTATACCGATTCTTTCAACATACGTTCTGATGTCCATTAATGTTTATTTTGTGCTAGAACTAAAGAAAAGAGATGATCGTTTCACGTGCCGCTTAAACTGTTGCGCATGCATCTGTTACAGAGTGCCAAAACGGTATTTATTATCAATTTTGAAACAGAATTTGAAAAGGTGTATTCTATGAACGAAATAGACACCAACAGTCAAAGCGCCAAAATGTTGTAATTAGAACGTTATTTAAATTACAAATCTTGTTAATACAGCATTCTCCTAACCTTATTTTAATCTAACATCCTTTGAACATTTATTTATTACATTAACATTCAGAAGATATCAGTAAGGTCATAAGGACGTTCTGAGAATGTTTTTATTATACTTTTATCTTAACATTTACAAAACATTAAAGTAAAACGTAACATATTCAACGATGCTGTCTTGCCATGCAGATTTACCTGACTGTTGCTGGACTGATTGGTGCTGAATTCTGAATATCTCTTCTGCTTAAGTGAGCAGATCCTGCTAATCAGCTTGCAATACTCGTCTCTGACCTGAAGGGGGCGACACAAAACATGTGAAAACACACCGAAGGCTCTTGGGCAGAATGCAGTGAAATGCTTTATGAGGGAATCAGACGTCTGTCTGTTTGACAAGATCTTTGCCATTTAGCTTGAAAGTTTTTTACTGGAACATTGAAACTGAAACTACAGCCTTCATTTACCTGAAAACTGGAAATAAGGTTTATTTAACCATCAACTGATCACAATTATGTAATAATCAGCTGAGTTGTATACAAACTTTAAACCTGCACATAAGCCTGTTTTAGTCAACTTTTTAATAATTATCTTCCTACTTATATGTAAACATTTAAATGGTGGCTGAAATAGAACCTTGTTTTCATTAAAGAATTATTCAAACATACATTAAATACTGAGTTCATCACTAACAGGTTCAGTAAATATATATTGATAAATGTATTTATCACAATGCTCCTCTCTAGAGTTATTTTTTCTAGCTGACCAATGAGTTAATGGAAACCCTAGTGGGTTGCAAAAAGGTGGAAAGTGTCCAGTAAATTTAGGAACTCATATATTAACCCTCTGGGCATAATATAAAAAATTATATTTTGAAATTTTTTAAATCATGGCTTCATCGGAATGAGATGACACTTAGTGACTTTTGTCACATTAGCTATGTGAACACACACAAAAAAAATCATGGACATGATTCGGATATGTTAAAGGGTCAAAAAAAAGTCACACTTGGCTCCTTCGCGGTCAAAAATGACCGACATAGGAAATGAATGGGAAATTCGAAAAAATACGAAAACTCCGATAATCTTTTGGTGGTACAAACTACAAATCAGCCACTTCCAGGGATTTTTGGAAAGTTTCCGGAAATTTTCCACCCCTTTGCAACCCTAATGGAAACCGAATTGATGTCCTGATGTAAATGTGACGTTATGTTACATATTGTTGGTTTTATTGACATCTTTACGCAGTTTAAACTCTGACTGATCGATTACATGAGAGTAAGAGTAATTTCAGTAAGTTATACCGATTCTTTCAACATACGTTCTGATGTCCATTAATGTTTATTTTGTGCTAGAACTAAAGAAAAGAGATGATCGTTTCACGTGCCGCTTAAACTGTTGCGCATGCATCTGTTACAGAACACCAAAAGGGTATTTATTATCAATTTTGAAACAGAATTCGAAAAGGTGTATTCTATTAACGAAATAGACACCAACAGTCAAAGCGCCAAAATGTAATTAGAACGTTATTTAAATTACAAATCTTGTTAATACAGCATTCTCCTAACCTTATTTTAATCTAACATCCTTTCAACATTTATTTGTAATATTCCAAGAACATTAACATTCAGAAGATATCAGTAAGGTCATAAGGACGTTCTGAGAATGTTTTTATTCTACTTTTATCTTAACATTTACAAAACATTAAAGTAAAACGTAACATATTCAACGATGCTGTCTTGCCATGCAGATTTACCTGACTGTTGCTGGACTGATTGGTGCTGAATTCTGAATATCTCTTCTGCTTAAGTGAGCAGATCCTGCTAATCAGCTTGCAATACTCGTCTCTGACCTGAAGGGGGCGACACAAAACATGTGAAAACACACCGAAGGCTCTTGGGCAGAATGCAGTGAAATGCTTTATGAGGGAATCAGACGTCTGTCTGTTTGACAAGATCTTTGCCATTTAGCTTGAATCCAGACCATAACTGTGTTTTCCATTTTGTTGCATTGGTGTGTGTTTTAAATACCGGTTTGGACAGGAGGCAGTGCATGATGAAGATGAGCGCCCCCTGGAGGCTGTTTAAGATGGTGAAGAGGTACAACGCAACCTGAGTTCCTTTCTCCTGGAAGAGGAAGCAGCCGAAAACCCACATCCCTCCAAGAACACACATCTGAGCCACGGCGGTCACCGTAAACCCCCTGAAAGTCACCAGAAATGGGTTAGACTCAATGACTGAATCTATTTTGGACTCATATATTAACCCTCTGGGCATAATATAAAAAATTATATTTTGAAATTTTTTAAATCATGGCTTCATCGGAATGAGATGACACTTAGTGACTTTTGTCACATTAGCTATGTGAACACACACAAAAAAAATCATGGACATGATTCGGATATGTTAAAGGGTCAAAAAAAAGTCACACTTGGCTCCTTCGCGGTCAAAAATGACCGACATAGGAAATGAATGGGAAATTCGAAAAAATACGAAAACTCCGATAATCTTTTGGTGGTACAAACTACAAATCAGCCACTGTGCAGAACAAAAGCGCACAGCAATCAAGGGGTGACTCTCTAAAATATCAAGAGTTCAAAATATACACCCACGCACACACACACACAGAAAAGAACTGGTAAGACTGCAACAGAGCAAATTCTGAGAATATTCAACGATTGTTTGAAATCATAATGCAAAACCTGATATTTATCTAACCAAAAATATCTAAACCTTGACAAAAAAGTAGTATTTTAGAATTTCTAAATATATATCTAAAAGTAAAACCTAATAAAATGAAGAAATTGTGTCTAAAAACAAAGGGAATCCAAAGGCCTCTGTATATATGTATACAGGGAACTATACAGGAGTTAACATGACATTACACAAGTTTTTTTTTTTTTTTTATGCCATCAGATGGCACAATTCTCACTTCAAAAAATAGATTTTAAATGTTTTCACTCTGTTTTAACATGAAATACTGCATTTATTGAAAAATAATAAATAATTAAATAAATAAAAATATATTAATTCTAATGGAAAAAATAACTCATTAAAATTGTATAAATATTGCATAGTATCATAAAATCCTCTCAAAATTCTAAATACTAATAATCAAAAAATATTATTAAACAAAAATGTATTGCACTGATTTTCCTGAAAAAAAAAAGTTACATTTCAAGGCACTTTTGACCGCGAAGGAGCCAAGTGTGACCCCTAAACGAAGAGGCCCAGAGGGATAAACACTCACCTGATGTTGCGGAGTTTGGAGAGGTCTGGATTGAGGCTGGAGAACTTTTCGGCCAGTTTCCACACGGTGATGATGAAGACAAAGCTGTTGAGGACGACGATGATGCAGACTGGCGCAAAGAAGCTCCATATGAAATAACGGTCAAGAGAGAGCCAACAGCTGGAACAAAAGCACACAAAATAATCATCAAACAGCTGGAAACCACTCAGATAACACAGTGATTTAGAGGCTGTCATGAAAAGCTGAAACACAAACAGCGCTTCACGCAAATTTACTCACTGTCTATCGGTGCCGTATCCCTTTGGGAAGGCGATGGCAGAGACGGCAACGATGACGAGAGGGACTCCGTATCCCACCGCAAACATGTAGAGATGTTTTAATGTGGTGTGAAACACCAGCACAACCATCCGGTAGAGCTGAACCCCCTCCAGCAGCATCCAGCAGAACGCAGACAAGAAGAAAAAATGAAGCAGACCGGCCACAAACGCACACGCTACCTGAGACGGACAGAGAGAAACCGCACAACTACATGAGTAACGTTTGTAAACAAACACTGATGTTGGCTTGGCAAAGCCGTTTTTACGTGAAGACAATAAAATGTTACCAACATGTTCTAGCACAATGCTAAAACTTTGAAGCATGTTGCTAACATGTTTTAACACATTGCTAGCATGATTCAGCACGTTGCTAGCATGTTGCTAACATGTTTTATAATGATTTAACACATTGTTAGCATGTTGCTAGCATGTTTTAACATTTTGCTAACATGTCTTAGCACGATTTAGCACATTGTACTAGGATAATCGCTAAGCTTTGCTAGTGATAGACAGCTTAAATACTCTACGTGTCCGATTGTGCAAAAGTTTTCACCCCCTCGATGAAAACTTATGGGATTTTTTTGCACTTTGGATCGTCCGGTTTACAAAAACCGTACGTTAGATTAGTGAGAAAAAGATACAGCGACCTGGGTTGGACCAGTCTGAAGGACTGACCTGAGTTCGGTGGTTGTAGCTTAAAAACTCTAGGAGGAGACACAGTCCAAATTTAGTCTCAGAAATAGAAGCTTAAATAATAGATCAGTATCTTGGCTTTGCCAAGCCATCATAATAAACAGTAAACACTGCTTGCGATTATACAGAAGGCCCCCATATACAGAAGATATAAGACACACACCTGATTGTGAGTGCTGGAGATCCCGCAGAGGAAGACGAGGTCTGCGATGAAGAGACAGATGCTCAGATGAAGATGAATACTGGTCCGGGTTCCTTGGATGGAGCGGCAGAACTTGAATGTCAAGATACAGAGAAATAAACAGACCAGAGACAGAACTAAACCCACACGCGTGATCAACACCAACTCAAACGAGTCCTGGAAGAGAGGAAGAGGGAAAATCATCAACATTTCATCTAGAATCTGAATTAAATATGTTAAATCCCCCCCGTCTGGCTCAGAGATGTACCTGGACAGGATAGAGAGCCATTAACACAGCGAAACTACTGAGATGAGAGCAGGAACACACTGTGTGAGTGCTGTTAGACTCCGCCCCCTCACAGCCCCGCCCAGACCACGCCCCCTCAGCCTCATCCCAGTAAACACAGGAGTAAGCCACGCCCCCAGACTCCGCCCTCTCCTGAAGAAGAATGATTGACAGTTCAGAAAAGGTAAAAAATACATGAATGTTTGATTTTCTGCATATGAAATGTGTGTCTCCAGAGAGATCTTGTGCTGGTCATAAGCTGGTCTGTCAGTATCTTCACCTCCACGTGTGTAAAGACGAGCGTCACCGGCTCTGACAGCTGCTTGGTTTCTGCATTACTGACGACGGCCGTCACCACTTTAGAGTTGAGTTGATAAGTGACGCTTCTCTCTTCATCGTCTGATCTCTTGCAATCTCAGCAACTGTCAATCACGTGATCATACAGAACAACTGCTTTCAGTCTTAAACAACAATTACAAATGAATGAGTGTAAATCTGTGTTTATAATAAAATCTATTTCTCACAACAGTATGTCCATTCAGTAATCAAGAGTTCCTGCAGGTTTTAGACTTTTAAAGACCTTTTTAAGAGCAAATAAGAAAATCCAGTACAGACTTATAAAGATTCCTAAATCAACATACATTTACTTGAAAAGCAAAATGACTTTAGATAAGAAAAACGGTTTGTTTCCTGAAAAACGGTTCAAAATGAAGTGATTTATGGTTAAAACAAGAACAAATATTTCTCAATGGGTTCAAAAAAATCAACTTAAATCAAAAGGAAGACAAGTTTAATTACACATTGGCAGATATCTGTTCTCGTTTTAAACATAAACCCACTTTATTTTGTTCATTTTCTCAGAAAACAAGACTTCATATCTTCCTTTCGCTTCTAAAGTAAAGTATTTGATTTAAGAATGTTTAGATATTTGAGAATATTTGCTGTGGAATCAAGACTTTTCAAGACCCGCAGAAACTCTTGAACACAGTGTCTGAACTGTAATGTTTGTTGTTTCTCACAGGTGTTGTGTGTCTCCATCCTGGTCACAGGCTCTCTCAGCTGAGGTCCGATCAGACGCATGCTGTTCTCCACCGCGTCCAGAAACTGACTCAACGTCTCGCCGTCAGCGATGTTTCCATCCGACAGCAGCTCGTCAGAGGAAGTGAACACATTCTGTCAAACGCAGTGAGATGTAGAGGAATATTCCCGGTCAAACTGCTCTGTCAACACGCACAGAAATGCAGAAGAAAGAGGAAGAAGGCTGTTTGTTTCACCTCCAGTAACTGCTCTCCCGTCTGACGGCCGCCGTTTGGATCACGCAGAGACTCACAGCTGCTCCTCAACAGCGTCAGTAAATGCTTCAACTAGAAGACACACAGAAACCAAACTCTGATTACTGATTATTCACTAAGCTCTACCGAAATAATCACGAGGGGTCATTCTACCTTTACAGGCGCGTCCTCCGCGTCAGACTCAAAGTGGTCGCAGCTCATCTCTGCGCACAGCAGCAAGACACAGTTAATTGTTTCGCACATTAGCAGCTACACCATGAACACAGATACGCTCATGCATACTGAACGCTCACCGGTGCATTTTGACTGGTTGTTGCCATAGTTACTGTAACCCTGGTGGCATTTGCAGCTGTAGCCACCTGGATTATTGTAGCAGTCTGCGTTTCTCCCACAAACATCTGGATCTAAACACTCATCGATGTCTGAGAGAGAAAGAAGACGTATGAATGCGGATGACTATTTGTATTTAAAGGGGTCATATGATGCGATTTCAAGTTTTCCTTTCTCTTTGGAGTGTTACAAGCTGATTGTGCATAGATAAGATCCCTGAAGTTGCAAAGACTAAAGTCTCAAAACCAAAGAGATATTCTTTATCAATCATAAGACTCGTCCACGCCCCCCTAAAATGCCTCGTTTAAACACGCCCCCACATGTCTACATCACTATGTGGAAATATTAGCATAATGATGCCGAAATGTGCACGCAAAGAAAGAAGGCATGGTGTCAGTAACCGCAGTTAGTGTTGAAGCAGCCATGTCAGGGAGACGCTGTGTGTTTCTAGGCGAAAGCAAAAGCACTTTATTTGGCCTTCCGAAAGTAGATGCATTTAGGAATCTTTAAGATTACTTACAACAGAACAGCAATGCATTTTATGGACGACCGTTTCGTGAACCTAGGAGAGGAGGTAATGCGGACTTTGCTATGACAATCTGGCGCTTCTGAATCAGCTACTGTAAGTATGTTTTGTTATTAGTTTAAGTATTTGCAATTGACTGTTCAAATGCGGAGTTTTGCGCATCGTGCGTGTGTGTGTGTGTGCGTGCGTGCGTGCGTGCGCGCGCGTGTGTGTGAGCGAGAGAGAGAGAGAGACAGGGTCACACATATTTATTGCATACATATACTTCGTAGTAGACATCCATAACTCCTTTCTGCTGTCTGTTGTCAGTGTTTCTTTGTTTGAATATGGCGCTTATCACATGCTGTGTGGTATCGGCGTTTGGTATCGGGGCATTTTAACGAGTACGAGTACGAGTACAGGAGGCCAGTATCGGGCCCGATACCGATACCAGTATCGGTATCGGTGCATCCCTATCAGAAATGTTTCTTGAGCAGCAAATATTAGAATGATTTCTGAAGATCATGTTCTGAAGACTGGAGTAATGATGCTGAAAATACAGCTGCGCATCACAGAAATAAATTACATTTGAACAGATATTCACATAGAAAACAGCTATTAATAACATTTCACAATATTACTGTTTTTACTTTATTTTTTATAAATAAATACAGCCTTTGTGAGCAGAAGAGACTTCTTTCAAAAACACTAAAACATCTCACTGACCCCAAACTTTTGACATGCATATAAAGATTATGATTAAAATGTAATTTAAAGAGCTGTTATAGTTGGACGTGAGAGCAGACACACACAGCATGTTACGATGATGTAATCAGCACTCAGACACACTGGAGTCAGTATCATTATTCATCATTAGTAGCAGGACAGATGCTCACCTGTACAGGTGCCGTTCTTATGTGTGCGAAACCCTGGAGAACAGATGCAGAGGAAACTTCCAGTTGTGTTAAAGCAGCTGCTGTGAACTCCACACACTGAGGACACACACTCATCCACATCTGCAGTGGACACACACACACACACACAGACACACACACACAAACACACACAGACACACACACACAAACACACACACAGAAAGAGAGAAAAGACCTCAAAAGACCCCTTCAAGAAATTTGTCTGCTGTATTTTTCCTTGTCCTGGCAAGAATTTTACATGCATTAAGGTAATTTTTCTAAATGGTGCTAAACTGTTTAAAACATCAAACAAATTTTTTTTAAATGTTAAACAATTTTTTTTTAAATTATTAGTTCAATAACCATTTTTTCACATTGAACATCCTGTTTCACTCAAAAATACATACGTTTACATACATAAAATGGTTTGCAAATGTCATTTTTTGACTTTAAGGAAGCTGTTTTTAACCCTCTGGTGTTGTTTGGTCATTTTGGACAGAAAGTTTGTTTTGGTTTGGTATTGTCTTTTTTTTCTCACTTCATTAGAATGCTACAAATCTTGGTTTTGGCACTTGCTAAGTGAACACACACACACACACACACACACACACACAGACACACACATACACACACACACACACACACACATACACACACACACACACACACACATACACACACACACACATAGACAAGTGTTTAATTTAGACACAAGCACAAGTTCACACATAAAGTATTTAAATGATAGCGGTTAGAGAGACGATGACAGCTGTCTTACGCTGGAAAACACATTTATCAGCTTCATGTGGAAACATCTAAGTGAACTTTGTTAATGATTGCATCAGCCAGACTACATGAGGTTATGTCAACAACTGTCTCTCTGTGCTTCTGGATGAAACCAGGACTTCCTAATCGACCGCTACTCGTTTTATAAATAGCAACTCGTACTGTTTTGCAAAGTTTCTTTTTGTATGAGAAACCTAAGATAATCTAAAACATTTGTCAAACATCAGAGCTCAATGCATGAGACGCAATATGTCACAATGCAACTCAACTTGATCTATCTCCAGTGTGACAAATGAGCCATCCTTTCTATCGGATGTTTTTACATGTTTTGCAAAGGCAAATGTAATGTTTTCATACGCTAGGTGATAAATTAACGGTACCTGCATGCAAAGTCATATTGAAATCATGTGGAGAAGTAGCATACTGCAGTTTCATTGCTATTTCTTCCTCTGAGCTGGTGGCAAGAACTGTTTCTGTGAACTTATATTATATGCTTAAAAATGCTAAATGCATCACATGGATCTTGGATGGTTATAATCAGGGTCAGAAATTAACCGGGGCTTTGGGGGAAAGCCAACAAAAATGATAAAAATCCAGTTTTTATCCGTTATTAATTAATTTAATTAAATTTTAATTTATGCATTTAGCAGACGCTTTTATCCAAAGCGACTTACAGTGCATTCAGGCTATACATTTTCTAATTCTACACTGTAAAAAATGATTGTGATTTTAACAGTAAAAGACTGTAAAAATGCTAAAGTAAAAACGGGTTGGTTGGTTAACAGTAAGTTTCCGTACTATATTCGGTGAATAAATGTAATTACATTTAATGTAATTTTACAGTAAAATACTGTTAAAAATACGGTTTTTGGAAGTGAAAAAGAAAAAGTCATTTTAATGAAATACGATATTTTATTGTGAATTTAAGTCTGTAAAACCTAAAATGTTGCTACCATATTTTTTACGGTGAAGTTCTGGCAACCACAGCTGCCGGTATTTTACCGTAAATGTCACAGATTTTTTTTTTACAGTGTAGTTATCTAATACACATCTATTCTAGGCCTATTTAGTTATAGATTTAAACACAATTTTAACTAGAAGACACTAATGATAAACAAACCTCATTTCTGGAAGGCAAGCATTGACCTTTAATGAAAAAAGGTTTCATTTCTGAATTGTAATGATGTCCTTTGGTTTGATTAACAGCCAAATGAAAAGCACTATGAGTGAAGCAGCTCACCTTCACATCCTGAGTCTGTTCTTGTTTCATGAAATCCAGGTGGACAGATGCACATGTAGGAGCCGATGGCGTTTTCACACTTCATATCACCTGAGCATTCATGTGTTTTCTCAATACACTCATTGATATCTGTTGGGGGAAGCAGTTGATATTAGTTACTGTATTTAAATCATAGTAGTGGACTCTTATGTCCCATAATTCCCTCTCGTACCCCTACACTGTCCCGTTGTTGCTGTAAAATTGGGTGTTGTTGGCCGAAATCCTTTATTGCAGGTGCAGTAGTAGCTTCCATTTGTATTGAAACACTGAGCGTGATCGCCACACACACCTGGAAGCGTCACGCACTCATCTGTATCTGTAGACAATCAGGAAGGAAACATCATTACAACGTTAGAAGAGAACTACAGTTACACAAATTCCCTCGTTTGAGTGACACACAGACCTTTAACTGTGTGTTATGACAGAAACATATTGTATTAAAACACATAAGGTGCTCATTACCAACACAGATCTTGTTTTTTATTCCGAATCCAACGCCACATCCGCGAGATTCAGCAGACTGCAGGAACAGACCTGATGAAGACAAAGAAAAAAAACAAGATCTATATAATTATGCATGCATTTATAAATCTATAAATCCATCCAGCCATCTGAAAAACTCTCCTGTCAGACCAAATTATACTTGCTAGTTATAAACACAGAAAAGTTATTACAAACACAAGTTTAAATAAAAATTGTAATTCACTAAGCATTATTTATTAATGTTCATTTATTAATTACTCCATCATATCTGATCTTAATATGCAAAATCAGCTATTTTTTTTTACTATTGTGAGATTGAAATAACCTTTGAGCTTGAAGTGTCTTCCTTCCAGTAGCTTGTATGTTGTTGAGTAACCAACAGTGTTCATTCAGTGAACAATTCAAAACCGGAGTCAAACAACTACGTACTTTGTGATTGTTTTTGAATGATTCACAAAGTGATATGGTTCATAAGAGTCAACTGAATCGGACTACACTGGTTGCACAGTATGTTTTTGATTCAATAAAAAGAACTGACTTGTAAGAGTCATTTGAATCAGACTACACTAGTTCTGTGGTGTGTTTTTGATTCACTACTAAGAACTGACTCATAAGAGTCATTTGAATCGGACTACACTGGTTGCACAGTATGTTTTTGATTCAATAAAAAGAACTGACTTGTAAGAGTCATTTGAATCGGACTACACTGGTTGCACAGTATGTTTTTGATTCACTACTAAGAACTGACTCATAAGAGTAATTTGAATCAGACTACACTGGTTGCACAGTATGTTTTTGATTCAGTAAAAAGAACTGACTTGTAAGAGTCATTTGAATCAGACTACACTAGTTCTGTGGTGTGTTTTTGATTCACTACACTAGAACTGACTCATAAGAGTCATTTGAATCGGACTACACTGGTTGCACAGTATGTTTTTGATTCAATAAAAAGAACTGACTTGTAAGAGTCATTTGAATCAGACTACACTAGTTCTGTGGTGTGTTTTTGATTCACTACTAAGAACTGACTCATAAGAGTCATTTGAATCGGACTACATCGGATGCAAGACATATTTGTGATTCACTAAAAACAACACACTCCTTTTAAGAGTCTTTATTTGTGAATTGGACTATTCTAGTCACGCTGTGTTTGTTTTTGCATGCAGCCTACGAGAACAACTCAGTGTTTTTATTAGTCAATTTAAAATGACTCAGCTCTGCAAACAGAGAGGTAACTTTGACATGTCTTTTCCATGGCATTGTAGATTCAAACGTTGCAGGATATGAGTGAATAAGATGCGATCTTCGCAGTGGTGAGGTTAAATTTTGAAACATCTCAAGAGGACATGTGTGGACTGTTTGCATTTGCTTGATAGTCAAAAATATTTTATCTGCCTTATCTTGTGGATAATACGAGGTAAGTATTCAAAAAGTAGTCTAACAAACTTCTATAAAGTCCGAATATCGGTATTGAAAATGACGAAATGAGGGTTGAACACAGTTTTTAGATTCTTAACATGTAACGTACATGTATCGTTGGTTGCAGCTCTTTATTGCAGTCTGCATGCAAACAAAACACCCTTTCACACATATACAAAACATTTATCTATACCCACACATACCAATGACCCAAAACCATTGTGTATGTGTTTAGGAAACCACAGATGCGATTGTAAATGTCCCGTACGAGCTGCAGCGAGTGCTGCGGCTGATGTGTCGAGCGATTCTACGAACATTGCTCACAACTCTCAGAATAATCTGTTCATCTACAAAACGAGAGAGCGTTTCACACCATTTTCAGACCTTCTTTTTCTCGCCTACTGACTTTTAGTTTAACACAGAGCTACAGATGCGACGCACGATTTTCCACCCAGCACCCGCACTCAAGTCATGCAACTCTTTTTTGGTTAATGTTGCAATTTTTATTTCAGTCTTACATGTCAGTGTCAAACCTACTGTCTAAAGTGTGAGTGTAGAAAAACCCTAAATGAAGTATAAGGTCAGTGAGCGGTTTTGTGTCATCCCTTGTAATGTATATTTGGGTTTCATTTTGACTGTTGGTGGTAAAATATGATTCAGTAACCTTTGATTTGCTTAGCCTGTGGAGTTTTTCAGCAGTGGCGAACTACTAAAACAAATCACATGGCCCTTCAGCTGTCTTACTTTCACGTGTCTGTATAAGCAAAACTTGCAGTGAAAAAGTAAAGTGGCATTTGAGTAACTATTTCAGCATCATGTGTCAGGCAATCATGCGTGTGTGCGGTAGAGGTTTGAACTAAAGCGGACGTTCATCTCAACCATCTGTGGTTACACTGCCACAAGTTTCACAGTAAGATTTGGTTAGCGTATTTAGTTGACTTCTAGATACAATTCTGCACTCTATACCACTAGTCTCAACCCTCCCACATGACTTAAAAGCATTCTTATATTTTCACTAAGACATGTTTATTAAGATGTTTCCTCTTGGGAAATGAAGTTCAGCTTTTACTGTCCTTGTGGGGACATTTGGTTACATATAATTTAAGCAAACTGTGACCCACAAACATGGTGCAAAATGAACACCAAGTGTCAAATGAAAGTGAGGGCGCCCACACATTAGATTTTACACTGCATCAGAAAGCATTTCAGTCTGATGCTGAGGAAAAACACAAGAGCTTGTGAAACTGAAGCTCCGTCATAAAAGTTGAGAAAGCGTTAACTGTGCTGCACCACATTCTCACAGAGCTGCGCTGATCAATGAGAATTACGGAGAAGGGCTTTTGAAGAACTTTTAATATTCTTGGAACCTTTCAATTGGCAAAAAAAAAGGGTTCTTTCAGTTTAGGTTTTTAAAATGTTCTTCAAAAATGGTTCTTTGAATAACTATTCACTGAAAGTTTCTTTGGGAAACCCAGAATGGTTCTTCTTTGGCATTGGTGTAAAAACCCCATTTTGGAAGCTTTATATTTAAGAGTGTACAATATTCTAGTCTAAAGTAAAATTGTGAATTTTGAGAGCAATTTCACTGAATTATGGACAAAGAAAGACATCTAAAAGGTAACTGTTTTCTCAAAATGACAAGTTAAAGAAACTGGATGTGATGTAATAGATTCCATTCAACCAGCCTGTTTTTGAATGTAAATGGCATTGTTTAAATAAATCCATGAATTAGAACATTTTGTGGAATGGAAAGGTTCTTCATGGAACCACCGATGCCAATAAGAACCTTCATTTTTAAGATAGCAGGTGTCTATCTTCAGCCTTTTACTTCAAAATGAGATCTAAATTACTTTACAGTTTTTTACGATTGCTTACACATTAAAATTAAACTTTTCCAACAGTTAGCAAAACCTTACACTCAAGGAGCAAAACACAAGGCTAGATTTGCACAACTGTAAGCACATTGTCAGCTTCACACTATTTGCAAAACATTACACACAGTGTTTTATAAAGTTGTGTATAGTTTTGACAAAAGTGTTCCATTTTGCAAATGATCTGAAGTGTTGTGCTACTTTGGTGTAGGGTTGTTAATTGTGTGTAGTGTTTTGACAAACCGGGCCCTGGTTTCAAAATTGTGCTTAAGCAATCGTAAAAAACTGTAATGAAATCCAACATTAACAAACAGGCATAAAGCTTTTAATATCCAACATAAAATAAATTCAATATAAATTCATTGACAAAACACACACAAACAGACTGTTTTGATGTAGTTTCTTATCAGTCTTATCTCACTGTCCTTTGGTGTCTGTGTTTTGTCTAAGCAAGAGACTCTGCATTATGATTCAGTGATGTGAATGTCTGGTTTCATAGAGAAACGCTCAAAGAATAGAGTCCTTGTTTAACACACACACACACACACACCCTTATATCCTCATGTCTGACACACATCTGCTCAAATGACCAGTCCAGCTTCAACACACACAAACACCTACTCACCCAAAAGAAGTGCCCACTTCAGCTCCATGTTAGGAAACACCGTAACTGCTGTCAGTCTGTTTATGCTTTGGTTTATGATATGAAATTGCCAAAGGAAATCTGTTTTCCAGTAAGTCCTCAGAGATTCCTGTCTTCCACTTTATATCCTTCAGGACTCTTGAGCAGTTTGAAATCCTAAGTGAATGTGGTCTCCTCCTCAGTTCTTCTCTGTCTGATTAGAAGCTCTTTTAAAATAGATTTCTCTTTTGTTTAACTTCCAGTCAGTTTCCCAGATGATTCCTTCTTGGGACCTTCTTGTCTTTCACTCTTGGTTCTGCTCTGTTTGTCTTAATCCACGCGGTCGGAGAGTTTCCACTATTTTCTCTTCTATTTTTTCCCACTGGCCTCGTCCGTTATTCCGTCTTCACTCTTCAGATGTGTGCTGCTATACAGTCTATGGTGCTGCTACTGGGCGAGAAGTCAGCAGCTATTTGTGGCCGACACTCCCCCTGGAGAGAGAGAGAGAGAGAGAGAGAGAGAGAGAGAGAGAGAGCAGCTGTTGTCGCTCAGTGCCAGCACTCATATGTATCAAATGCGCGCGCGCTCTTTCTTTGGAACGTTTCCCTCCATTTTCAAAATAACGACTTTTCAAAACCGTTATAAGAATTTTTCTGTTAAATATAAAAACGCGCTTAAAACAAGATTAACCAACTTGAAACGCAGCAAGACTTGTTTTCAGTGGTTGTATCTTAATTCCACTCTATTTTTCTCTTACTGCATTTGTAGAGTTTTTTCCCCGGGGGTCTGACAGACTCATATCAGAGCAAAAGGGGCTTTTGGACACTCATTTCACTCACAATGGGGGCCGCTGTTGACGCTCACGCCGGTGACGTCACATCCTGAGTTGCACAACAGCAATTGTGCCAATACAAACACTCGGAAATATATGTTACTGTTCTGTTTATATAATATAAGAACATACTGCGGTCATATTTGTGGTTCTGATCTGACTGTTGGTTCAAACTGAGAATATGAGCACAGTTATAACTAAATATTCACACACACACACACACACACTAACACACTCTCACACACACACACACACACACACTCACACACTCTCTCTCTCTCACACACACACACACACACTCTATAGACATGGGACTCACACACACACACAAACTCTCT